ATATAAAGGGGCCACTCACAGGAATACACAATGCTTCTGCCAGTCCTGTTCAGGGCCAAGGACATGTGCTTATAACCTGTATGAGAAAACAATGGGTAAAATAAGGGAATGAAGGGAATTTCCAGCTGTTACTTTTTAAAAGGGGACTGCCTGAAAAAAAATAAAAAGAGGCTGCCTGGAATGTCTGTGGTTATATTTTAAACTAGCAGCAGAGACATGTGGCTGCTCTGTGCTTAAAATTGTGTTTAGTACCTCCCAGACTGCTGGGATTGTTGAGGAGGTAGTGTGGGACGGTGCATATACTAAGGAAAGGTGGGAATGAAGATGTTCTTCTCTGTGACGGACAATTCTGGATGCTTTCCCCCAAGTGATGTTATGCAGAGTTACAATTATATTTGTAACGAACTCAGAGCCCTCTTGAATGAAATGTGCACAATATTAGCCATGATTAGGCATGCATGGATTTTACACACATGCATGAATGCATGCATGGACAAACTGAAATAAGAGAAGAGGTAGGAGCTCTGGCACATTAAGAATAATTGTTTCCAGTATTGTGATAGGGCATTTAAAATGTGAAGATTAGCTCTTTGGATGTTCCAGTTACCCTGGCCTCCAAGTTCCTCCCTTTGCTCATGGCTAAATCTCTTTAATGAAACATACCATTTTCCAAATGTTCCATGCTGTCACAGTGACAACCATCAAATTTTAGCAGATCTACTCCCCAGTCAGCAAAGGTCTGGGCATCAATGTCATAGTATCCAAAACTCCCAGGAAAGCCTGCACAGGTTTTATTTCCAACATCTGCATAAATTCCGAGCTTCAGTCCTTTGCTATGGACCTGAAATGAGAGAAAAGGATCACCACAGTAGAAGGGCAATTATGAAGCAGAGAGAATCACTCCAGGCTGGGGGCAGAGACAAGTATACTTCACTATGTATCAGGGACTTTTTTTTTTTTTTTAAAAACCCCCCAAAATTATCCAGGTGAGTTAGTTGGGAGACAAAGTCTCCAAATCTGCTGAGTTCAAACTATATATGTAAGCTATAACGTAGAACTAAAGGGAAAGCTATCAGTCACTTTAATCTCTCTCTGATGGGATCCTAAAAGTTACCTTTCCAGGGCAATGATACAATTATCTGGACAAAGTCTCTCACTATGACCATACCTTAGGTTCTTCTGTGCCCTCTTCTCAAGTAGGCCTCATGTTGTTTCAGCAAGAATTCTGCTAAGTCATTCCCCTACCCTTGATATCTGATAAAGTTCCTCATCCCCCACCCCTGATATCTAAGTTCTTGGCCTGCCTTTAGCATGAATCCTCTTGCCCTTGATGTCTCCTCTTGGTAATTTTCCTTCCACTGACACTTTCAAGTCTGCTCATGGACTATAAAACCCCACTTGTCTTTGTTGTATTAGGAATTGAGCTTGACTATTACAATCTTTGTTGTATTAGGAATTGAGTTCGACTATTACAATAGTACTGAATAAATCTATCTTCATTGCCTTTAACTGTTGTCCAACTCTATTACACCTTAATTTTCAGAATATAGTCCTTCTATCTTATAAAATTCTAGTTTATAGTACAATTGCAATAGCTCCGCAAAGCTTAACATGGAAATATATGCACACATGTCAAGAGCCAAGTTCCTTTTTTCCTTTAAGAGAATTCAGTGGTTTTGGCAAAAGGAGAACTTCTTCAAGATAGGCCTCAAGAGCTATTGCAAAACAAGGATCTGCTGATGGAATGAAAATTCCACCTGATAAGTCTTACAATTTGATATTCACATGATGGCAGCTATTTTACCTTCTAAGTCTTTGTGAACAAGTTTCAGTACAGAAGTGCTTTCGGTCTCTTTAATGAAAGAATTATCTACAAACTCACATAATTAGCAAGGCCTTGGATCCCACCAGGAAAGCGTTTAGGGTCTGCCTGAAGTCTGCCTTTTGAATCTCTTTTGGGAGCCATCCAACAGTCATCAATACAGAGGTACTCATAACCTACATCCTTCCACCCATCTGAGTCCATGAGTTCTGCCATCTGCATGAAGAGCTTCTCGCTGAAAAAGAAATGCCAAGAATCATTGAAATTCATTAAACAAATGATTAGTCATCTTAGGGTTTTGCAATTTTTTTCAACCCAGTAATAGTTCAGTAGTAATTACACTCAGTGCAAGGTAAAATGGACTGTGCTTCTTTCCTCCTTGCCGCCCAAGTACTTCCACCCAAGAACCTCAAACGATTAGGAATGAGAAATACATGACATTGAAAAGGCTATTAGAATTAAGAAAAGGGGCGTGTGGATGGCTCAGGTTAAGCCTCTGGCTCAGGTCATGATCTCACAGTTCATGAGTTCAAGCCCCATGCTGGGCTCTTTGCTGACAAACATGAAGCAGAATGTGCTAGGGATTCTCTCTCTCCCTCTCTCTCTGCCCCTCCCTGCTGGATCTTTCTCTCTCTCTCAAAAAAGGAAAAAAACCCAAACATTTAGAACTAAGAAGAAGGTTCAGTAAAGTAAGAAACTACAAAGTTAATATAATCAACAGCTTTCTTAGATATTAACCATAACCTATTTGGAGAAAAAGATACCGTTCACAAGACCAACCAAAAAAAAAAAAAAAAAAAAACAACAACAACAAAAAACAGAAAAACCTAAAATACCTAGAGATAAAATTAACACATGTGCAGGATCCATATGAATAAAACTATCATGTTCCCAAATGACTTAAGTGGAGAGATGTTATTTTGCTCTGGGATAAGAAAACTCAACTTTAAAACACACCTTTATACATTGAATAAACTCTGAACAAACCCCAAAAGGAGTTTTTAATGAACTTGGCAACATGATCCAAAAGTTCTCCTAAGAGATTAAACACGTAAACATTCTACAAAAGATAAATGAAGCTGCAATATACCAGTAGCATTAGAATACACAAACCAATGGAATTAAAGACAAAGTTCAGAAGAAGATCCTTCCGGCCATTTGGTACCATGGAATTTATAGTACGTATTAAATGTGGCATTCCTTATAGTAAAATAAAGTCCAGATGGATTAAAGATTTAAATATTTTAAAAATCCATAAAAAATACTACTAGAAAATGTAGGTGACTCCTATTATCTCCAGGTAGGTAAAGACTTTCTCAGCATGATACCAGAGCCAGAAATAATAAAAGAAAAAAATGATGTTTGATACATTCATAGCAAAACCAACCTAAGCCAGAATCACCACGTTATTCATAATGTATTGACAGACCACACACACACAAAACCCCAAAGCCAAACCCAAAATATTTCAATTAAAAATAATAAATGGAAATAAAAACGATTGGCAATGTTTTAAAAGAATCAGAAAAATGGAGTGCTGGCCACAGTGTGGGGAAACAGGCATTCATCATACACTGTTCTTGGGAATGTGCATTTGTTAACTTCTGGGGAGGACAGTTTAGTACATAACAAAATGGGCATACATTTGGGTCCAGTAATTACACTTCTAAGAAAAGAATCATATGATGTACAGGAATGGTTAACACAGCTTCACAACAATAAAAAAAATTGAAGAGCCTGAATAGATATCAACAGGAGATTGCTTAAATAAATCATCGTACATACATACAGTTTGCATTTGTGAAGCGCTTATTCTGTGCCAGGAAAACTTTATTTTCATTATACTCTACTATGTACATTTTTTGCAATGATTATGCATTAGTTTTATTATCATGTAAAAATAAGACAATCACTACTTCGAAAAAAAGGAAAAGACAAAAAAATATATGATGGTAACTGCATTCAGCATCTCAGCATTAAGCCACCATGGCTTTGAACTGTGTGAGCATCTGTGATTTATCTCCGTTTATTTTGTGCATCAAAGCCAATAGAGGTTATTTTTTGGGTTTGGGAACGCTCAAAATTTTTTCCATATAAATTAATGGTAATTGCTTCATTAAGCCATTTCGGCTTACAGAACACATTACTTTCGGATAGTGGGGGAAACCTTTATAAAGTTCCTCCAGGTCAACCTTCCAGCTGGATCCCACATTCTAGGGCGAGGGGGGGAGGAGATCCGTGACTCCACGGTTCCTCTAAATTCCCTCCAGTTACAGCCAAGGAACTCCTGACCCAAAAAAGGAGAAGTTGCACGTGTTAGTCCTCTGTCTCGCCTACTCGCCCCAGCTGTGCTCACTACTAGTACCTGGCAGAGGCAGAGCGGCAGTTCACAAGAAGGATCTGAACAGAACTGGATGGTGAATGGATAAAGTCCCCAGTTGGGTGATGAGGCACAGAGACACGAGAAGCAGGGGCTGCTGACCAGACTCCCACCACAGGAGGGGTCACGCAGCAAAAGTTTAGGGCTAGTTTCCATCCAGGGAAGCTTGCTGGAGACGACAACAACAACAACGCAGCAGCAGTAAGGGAACTCTCGGGCTCAGATGTTCCCTCTATCTCGCCAAAGAGACAAACACATTGAAAGGCGAACGCCAAGTGGGTGCTCAATATCTCTGATACCTGATACAAGAATCTGGCTCTTCTTGGCAATCAACATTGCACATGAAGCGCTCCCAGTGCAGCCAGCCCATGGTGGGGGTCATCGCCAAGCCATTGTCCAGGGCCCTGGCCCCAGGGAAGCTCCAGAGAACCAGGGCCAGGAAGCGAAGCGCCAGCAGGAAGCCCGGCTGCTGAATTCCGTTCTCCAGCTTCATCGCCACTGTAATGCAGTACAAATTTCCATCGGTAACCTGGGTTTTTAAGCTTAACTTTAGGGGCGGACCAATCACCTGTGAGTTATTAAATAATGACGTTATTGTTTCTCAGGCAACTGGGACGGTTATCCCCAGAGGCGGACCAATGATCAGTCACGGAAGACACACCACAACCAGTCACACTCTTCGTTTCTTGATATTGGCCCGCCCCATTTCCATACCGGAAGGAAGTGCGGCACTTTAGAGATCCCGAGTTTAAGCCGAGAGTTGCTCACGTGACCGAGATCTCACATGACGTAGGTGATCACGTGATCACTCGCTTACGTGAGCAGAAGTAGTTCTGGTCGTCGTCTACCGTCTCGCTATAGCCGTTTGAGGGAAGAAGGAGGAAAATTATCCGGTATCGTTAGAGGTTGGTGTGTGGGTGGGAACTGGGGACCCGAGGGTGGTGATGATGAAGACCAAAGCAGGATCCGCGGGCCACCTCCGCCTTTTTCGTTCCGTGCTTTCCCCTCCCCCGCTCCCCCCTCCCCCCTCCCCCCTTCTCAGTGCCGGGAAGCCGCCTTTGCTGCGCCTGGTGGGGAAATGGTGGACGTTCGTGACTGTATGTGTTTTTGTATATCTGTCTGGGCGGGTCTCAGGGGACCCTTACGAGAAACCGTAAGGTGAAAACGCTTGAAAACCATGTCCCTGGATTAAGAAAAACAAATATTCAGACCAGTAGCCGGAGTGCTGGTCCATCCATTCAGGCACTCAGTCCCCACTGATTGTCTGTAGGGGGAGGCACCAAGTGAATTATATCTGTAGAGTCACACCTAGGCAAATGCTGCATGCCTTACAGAGGCGCCCAATAAATGTTTTTACTGTATTGAATATTTAAATAACGTTTGTTTTTCTACTTATAACAACAATCTACATGTTCAGTTTTGGACGTTCTGAAAATAAGAGTATACTATAAATTTAAAAAAACACAAGTAATTCATCAGCAGGAAATAACTACTCAGCATTCGGGTGTATAAAAAGTATGTGTATAACACGCATATAAATACACAATTTCTTAACCCACAAATGGAATCCTGGTTCCTACTTCAGCAGCAGAGTCCTGGTGGCCTTCCCAGGAGATACAGTAATGAAGCGGAATCTCCCTGCCACTACAGAGGGATATTAATGTCTAGAGTGCTGCAGGGACATGAAATGGGATTGTACAACCAAGAGATAAGGCATGCAAAAAACCAGTGCATAAATATGTCCCTCAAACCTGAAGATGGCTTATAGGGAGAGTGTTATTTGCAGATGCAGTGTGCCAGGCCTATGACAGGCAACTAGTAAATGTTTGTTGAATCTTCAGTGTAGTTTTATGGCAGTTATTACACTTTGTACTTTCTTTCCAAGAGGCCCAGTGTTTCCAGACCATGTCAGATAAGCCATGCACATATACAAAATTAGAAAATTTTATAATATTGCTATAGAGCAAATCCCAGAAAAGCAAACATTTAAATTTTTTTTTTTTGCTAAAATAAAATTACTCTCCACAGAAAACTAAGAATGCACAAGAGATTGAAAAAATAACATTGAAAAAGCCATAAGCCTGCCACTGAGAGCAATCACTATTAACATTTGACATATTCCCCATGCATATATTTTTTTTCTAACACTTTTTGTTCCAGTTACAGTGATTTTTAAAAATTAAAACTATATAGAAGTAAATTGGGTAAAAAAGTGAAAAACTACTTCACTCTAACCTCCAGTTCCTGTTTTCTCAAAAAACAGATTTGTATTCTATGCTTTCAGATTTTCTATGCATTTACATACATATATACCTGCATGCTTATGTTTTAAAATAGGATCATACTATGCATATTCTTTTATTTAATACATTTTGGAAATCTAGGTCAGAAGCTGTTTTTTGTTAATAGCTGCATAGGATTCCATTTTAAGGATAAAGTATATACTGTAATTCATTCAGCTATTCCCCTATTGATGAATAGTTAGGTTTCTAATTTTCTGCCATTACTAACAGTGCTGCAGTGAACATTTGTGAGTATTTCTGTTGACCAGGTTCCTGGAAGGAATTTTAGCAGGGTCAAAGGATATATGAACATACATGTTTTTTTACATAGTTGAGATTATAAAGCAGCTGTGATCTTGGTTTAAGATTATAGCATATGTAGTTCCTCATGTTATTAAATATTTGTATAATTTTAAAATTAAGTAATAGTCTTTCTTAATAAAGTACCTTTTGAAGAATACGTAGCTCCATAAATCTTTGTCTGAAACTTCCGATCATCTCTTTAGGGCACATACTCTGAAGTGGATTTAGTATATCAAAAGGCATGATACATGTTTACAAGTTGCTTTCCAGAAATACTGTGTATACTTTTCACTCCTTAGGAGTGTTTGCAGACCCTGAATATTAGCATTGACTTATCCTGTTTAATTTTCACTGTCTTAGTGGGTGAAAAATGTTGATTAATTCTGGTTTTAACTTGCATTTCTGATGATTGGTGAGATTTGAACATTTCCCAAATAACTCCTCTGTATCCTCACATCTGTATTCTCCCTGTATTTAATCTGTTATCAAGTCCTGCAGAGTCCACTGCTTTGAATGCGTAGATCACCTCTTTCCTTTCTTTTTTAAAAGTGCTATTGCATTAGGTGAATCCCTTATGCCTCGAAGAGACTGGGATTCTAACTGATCTTGCTAGTGTCACCCCAACCCCCCTCTGTTTGAGTTCCACACTGTTGCCAGCGTGATCTGTTTGAAAGGGCTTTGATGACATCACTCCCCTCCCCTTCCCTCCCGGAACTCCCCTGTTTAAAACCTTTTGAAGGCCTTTCTCATTTGTCCATCACATAAGGCCTTTAAGATATGATTTCTACCTTCCAGCCTTAATGTCTTGCCTGGCCTCATCCTATTTTATGCTCCATCGTAACTTTTAAAATTCATTTATGGATCCATGAACTGGTTAGTCTGTTTTATTTAACAATTCTGTGCTGTTAGAATTGACCAAGCGTCCCTGCTTTGTGTATCTTTTTACCCTGAACAGGATTCTGTCATAGCAAGGATAATGTTTATTTGCACTTTTGTCTTTAGTAAAGATGTATAATGCTCCCGGACCATAAATCCTTTCTGGGCTTACTGACTTTTGTATCCTGAAGCCAAGTACTGGAGTTGGCAACTGAAAAATATAAAATGAATGTATGAACTACCCATAATGTCTTTTTTTCCATTTATCTCTTAGGCCTTAATATTTCCCTGATTTTATTAATTGGCATGAATTCTTTATATAATAAGGATATTCATGTATTGGTGTAAGTATCTTCTCAAAGTGTATTGTTTGTCTTTTAATTCTGTTTTATTTTACCTTTGATGTAATTAAGTTTTTCATTTTTATGTAATCGGGTATAGCCATCTTGTATTTGTTCATATCTTCCAGTGATATTGTTGCTGTTAATTTTTTACGCCTTTCATTTTCTGACTATGATGTTAATATATGCTGAATATAGAAAACTTAAAACATACAGAAATGTCCAAAGAAAACAGTCCTTTAAATAAAAAGTTCCCATAATCCTAATGCCCAGAAATAACCACTATTAATGGTATCTAACAAATAAATAGGTATTGAGTAAATAACGGTTGGATGAATGAATTAAAAATTTGGTGCGGTCTTATTATTTATACAAATGTTTTGGAAAAAAAATCAGTGTAATTGAGTTTTATATTAGTTTGCTTTTTTCCTACTTGTATTGTGAACATTTTTCCATGACAATAGTCTTCTAATTTTTTTCAGCTACATCAAAATCATAGTGAGCCAAGCTTGCAACCAAGAGCCCAACAGCCACCATGATGCTGAGCACGGAAGGCAGGGAGGGGTTCGTGGTGAAGGTCAGGGGCCTACCCTGGTCCTGCTCAGCTGATGAAGTGATGCGCTTCTTCTCTGATTGTAAAATCCAAAATGGCACATCAGGTATTCGTTTCATCTACACCAGAGAAGGCAGACCAAGTGGTGAAGCATTTGTTGAACTTGAATCCGAAGATGAAGTGAAATTGGCTTTGAAGAAGGACAGAGAAACCATGGGACACAGATATGTTGAAGTATTCAAGTCCAACAGTGTTGAAATGGATTGGGTGTTGAAGCATACAGGTCCAAATAGTCCTGATACTGCCAACGATGGCTTCGTCCGGCTTAGAGGACTCCCATTTGGCTGTAGCAAGGAAGAGATTGTTCAGTTCTTTTCAGGGTTGGAAATTGTGCCAAATGGGATGACACTGCCAGTGGACTTTCAGGGGAGGAGCACAGGGGAGGCCTTTGTGCAGTTTGCTTCACAGGAGATAGCTGAAAAGGCCTTAAAGAAACACAAGGAAAGAATAGGGCACAGGTACATTGAAATCTTCAAGAGTAGCAGAGCTGAAGTCCGAACCCACTATGATCCCCCTCGAAAGCTCATGGCTATGCAGCGGCCAGGTCCCTATGATAGGCCAGGGGCTGGCAGAGGGTATAATAGCATTGGCAGAGGGGCTGGGTTTGAAAGGATGAGACGTGGTGCCTATGGTGGAGGGTATGGAGGCTATGATGACTATGGTGGCTATAATGATGGATATGGCTTTGGGTCCGATAGGTTTGGAAGAGACCTCAATTACTGTTTTTCAGGAATGTCTGATCATAGATATGGAGATGGTGGGTCCAGTTTCCAGAGTACCACAGGGCACTGTGTACACATGAGGGGATTACCTTACAGAGCCACTGAGAATGATATTTACAATTTTTTCTCACCTCTTAACCCCATGAGAGTGCACATTGAAATTGGACCTGATGGCCGAGTTACTGGTGAGGCAGATGTTGAATTTGCTACTCATGAAGATGCTGTGGCAGCTATGGCAAAAGACAAAGCTAATATGCAACACAGATATGTGGAGCTCTTCTTGAATTCTACTGCAGGAACGAGTGGGGGTGCTTATGATCACAGCTATGTAGAACTCTTTTTGAATTCTACAGCAGGGGCAAGTGGTGGTGCTTATGGTAGTCAAATGATGGGAGGGATGGGCTTATCCAACCAGTCTAGTTATGGGGGTCCTACTAGCCAGCAGCTAAGTGGTGGCTATGGAGGTGGTTATGGTGGTCAGAGCAGTATGAGTGGATACGACCAAGTTCTGCAGGAAAACTCCAGTGACTATCAGTCAAACCTTGCTTAAGTAAAGAAGGAACACTAAACAGCTGTTACAGAAATAAAAGCTGTGCATTTATGGGAGTTGTAGAATGGGAGGGATGTCTAGCCTATCCAGTGTGATTGGTAATTGGGAAATATCATTGATTCTGATTACTCTTGGACAACTTCTTTTTCTTTCTTTCTTTCTTTCTTTCTTTCTTTCTTTCTTTTCTTTCTTTCTTTCCTTTTTTTAAAGAAAACAAAAATTAAGTTTAACAGTTTCGCATTACAGGCTTGTGATTCATGCTTACTGTAAAGTGGAAGTCAAGGTTTTAAAACTTCAAGCTCAGTAATTTTGAACACTGAAGCATTCACTTAGGATGTAATAACAGCGTTCAGTATTGACCATAACTGTTAAAACAACTTTCAGCTTTCCTCAAGTTAGTTATGTTGTAGGAGTGTACCTAAGCAGTAAGCGTATTTAGGTTAAAGCAGTTTCACTTATGTTAAATGTTGCTCTTATACCACAATACACTGAAAACTTTGGATGCATGTTGAGAAACATGCTTTTCTGTAAAACTCAAATATAGGAGCTGTGTCTACGATTCAAAGTGAAAACATTTGGCATGTTTGTTAATTCTAGCTTTTTGGTTTAATATGCTGTAAGGCACGTGACTGTACACTTTTACTTTTTTTTTTTTAAGATCTGGGACAATTTTGAGATGTAATACCAATACTTTAGGAGTTTGGTCATGTCGTTTGTATGAGATTCTGAGGCTTTGATTTAAATCTTTCCTTGTATTGTGATTTCCATTAGATGTATTGTACTAAGTGAAACTTGTTAAATAAATCTTCCTTTTAAAAACTGGAAAAATAATCTTGTACAGCTTGATTTTTTTTAAAGAAAATTTATTTAAGTAGTCTCTATACCCAAAGTGGGACTCGAACTCTCGGCCCCAACATCAAGAGTCACATGGCCTCTGACTGAGCCAGCAGGGTGCTCCCAGCTTGATTTTTTTAATGCTTTATCATATGAAAATTTTCTTTTATTCAAGTCTTCTGCACTTGAAATTTAAATTGTTTTTAATTTTTAAATTTTTATAAACTTGCATTAGCATTTTATACATACATTGTTGTATATATCACAAATTATTTATTTCTAGGATATATTCCTAAAAGTGGAATTGCTGAGTCAAAGGTACAAACATTTTTAAGGCTTTTGATTTGCATTATCAGAAAGATTATGGTACTTTGTGTTTGTACCAGGACTGTATGTCCCCCTCACCCCATAGACTTCTCAATGATACATATTGTTATTGATCTTGGCTAATTTGTTAGTTGAAAAATGATATCCCATTGCTATTTTATTTTTTTAAGTTTTATTTTCGAGAGAGTGCAAGCAGGGGAGGGACAGAGAGGGAGACTGAGGTGAAGCAGGGTCTGCACTGACAGCTGAGAGCCTGATGCAGGGTTCCAACTCATGAATTGAAATCATGACCTGAGCTGAGATCAAGACCTGAGTTGAAGTCGGATGCTTAACCAGGTGTCCCTCTCATTGCTATTTTAATTTCTATTTAATTACTTTTGGGGTGGAGTATTTTTCTGTTTGTTTTTTAAATGTCTCACCTCCATGTCCACAGGACTATGGAGCTACTCTGGAATCTATCAAGACAGCATTCTCCAAAATCCAAGAAGTGAAAGCAAATAAATCCCATTCCTTTTGTTTAATCATATAGAAGATCTAAGGCCAATTTATATGTTTTAAAAAAGAATTAAGTATATGTTATTAAATAACAGTCTCCACCATGAATTTATTAATAGCATCTCAACACCTTTAAGGTTTTTCGGGGCATTTAAAACTTGTTCTTAACCATTGGTTTTCAAACTTTAGCATGTACCAGAGAATCCTCTGCAGGGCTTGTTAATACATTGATTACTGGGCCTCACTCTTAACAGTTTTCGAAATTTGGTAATATTGGGGTGGTGCTTAAGAATCTCCTGATGCTGCTGGTCTCGTGGCCACATTTTGTGACCCATCACAGCTCTCTGATTACTAACGGCCCTAAAATAGCTTTAAGAAGCAGCTTCCTTCATGATTCCTGATTGTCTCCCCTTACATTCCTATGAGAAGTAATTTAAACTTTATGTTAAAATACAGACTGCATATGATTGTTTATAGCATCTTGCACCTCCTATGAGGACTTCAAAGGCACGTGACACCAGAGGCTTTCTTACATTTCTGTATATGTAGTAGCTGTTAACAATTACACCTCTCAATGACATTCAGGCCTGGATGCCCTCGGGTCACTATCAGTTGCACCTGAACTACAAATCTTTTTGTGGCTCTTGTGACTAGCCTGGAAATGGATTGTTACCCTTGCTCTGCTTATAGCTTAGGGTCCGGAGAAATGCTCTGAGATTGGAAGCAAATACCAAATTGGTATAACCTGACAATTTTATTCAAGAACACTTTTTATTGAGTATCATTTCTACAAAATCATTCACACCGAGGATACAGTGAGAGGGGAATTCTTTGATGCTTCTAATTTCTGTAACAGTTGCTAAGAGAGCAAGAAATTCATTTTGACTCGTGCTACTGAGCCAGTCATTACCTTGCCCTCCTGAGCTCCTTCAGGAAGCCTTTCTCAGGGGGTTCACGAGTACATGTTTTTGCTTTCCAGACTGCTCAGTTAATTTTCCAGAAAGTTCTATAAGTGTGAGCGAAGATTCTTCAGTTAGCCACTAGATGTCACCAAATGCCAGGAAAGAATTGGCTGAGACCTGAGATCAAAGGTGTCTGTTGCTTCTTGCTGGATAAGAAAATTCCCAAGGCCAAAGGAAGCAGTGAAAAGAGAGAGACCCTGGAGAAGGTCAGCAGTCAGAGGTGTGGAAACGGACAGTAGTACCTGTCAGGGAAGCAGCACAGATGTGCACACATACACACCCCTGTAACTCTCAAATCTAATTCTGTAACACTACCAAGGAGAGTTTGCTGGGAGGTAAAGTGTGAAACCCACTGATAGACCTCCTGAGCACCAAGCCAGGGGATTCATTTTAGACTGTACCTGTAAGCTACTTGGCAGGATCAGGCTGAAAGTTTTCAATCACAAAAATCATACCCTAAGGGGGTCTCTACTGATGGCTTATGCCAGTGGTTTTCAGAGTGTGCTTCCAGGACCAGCAGCATGACCTGGAACTTGTTAGAAATGAAAAGTCTCAGACCCCTCCCAGAATGACTGAATGAGAAACTCTGGGGTGAGGCCACAAATCTGTGTTTTAATAAGCCCTGCAGGTGATTCTGATGCACAGAACCATTGGCTTATGTAGGCATTCTGTTTTCCACCCATTTATTTATTTCTGCATTTATTTTTTGAAAAGCTTCTAAATATTTTATTTACTTTGAGAGAGCGCGCACGAGCAGGGGAGGGGCAGAGAGAGAGGGAGAGAATCCCAGGCAGGCTCTGCACAATAAGCTCAATCATGAACCATGAGGTCATGACCTAAGCTGAAATCAAGAGTCAGATGTTCAAATGACTGAGCCATCCAGGCACCCCTATTTCTGCATTTATTCATCCATCCATAAAGGTCTCTATTCCAGAGACAATCTTACCTGTCAGCATGACACAACTTCTGTATCCTCCTTCCCAAACTGATATGGAAAAGCATTGCGAATTCACTTACAAATCAAG